CTCAAGGGGATGGGCCAGCAGACGACGTGTCTTGTCGTGTGGGGCCTAGAGGGATGAAGAGAAAAATGAAGGGTGGGGGTGAGCATCATGGTTGGAGGGGTGAGGGGATGGGGATGATAAATTGGATAAAGAAAGAATGCGGCCAGGTGAATACATGAAGGGGACGATGGTGAAACAAGTGTTCCTTAAATTTGCGACACCTGACAAGAATCTCGAGATTGAGGCCGCGACCGTCTCGCCCCTCTCTTCCGTTGAGTTTTAGAGCCCCGCGCAACCAGCCGCCTCGCCGCGCTGTAAAACTCTTGTGCCATTTTTTTTTCGCGCGCCATCCTCTGCGCGCGACGAAAGGGAATTTTATTATCATTGAGAGAAATTATTTTTTGGTATGGTAATCCCCATGGAGTAGTTGTCCTGCAATGACAAGGGAAGTACGGCCGAGAACCAAACGGGCGTTTCAATAAAAATGCAAATGGCGTTACTTTATAGCGATCGGGCCGGGCGAAGACGAGAAAAAATGGGGAATGATAAAGAAACGGACGAGAGTTTGAAAAAGTGTGGGGCGTTATACATATTCTGGCGGTGCGAGGCGCCCCGCCCTGCCGCGGATGCTGCGGGAGAAGGGCCAGAGCAATCGGAAAAGGAAAACAGCCGGCGCCGCCGCCAAGTGGAACGAGGATTTGACGTATCTGTGTCAATAAATTGGGCAGGCCCCTAACCGGGCCGTCACCTGCATGGAGATTTTCGTCACGCGAAAGGCAAACAAACAAATGGATGTGTCCACTAAAAGCTTTCCCCAACACTGCGGCGCTACCCCCCCTCCCCCCCCAACCCTCCCTTTCTCTTACACTCTGGGAAAAAATCGACAGGCAATAAAACAATGTCCGGCCATCATGACGACGCCCCCGCCGCGCTCCGCGGCCAGTGGGGAAAGGGTGGGGTGGGGGGGCTCACCCTCTCCTTGTCAAAATATCCCTTTCTGATTTATCTGCGGGTTCGGACAATATTTCAATATTTTAGCCGCGATGTTGTTGGCCAGCTCCGCCGCCGGGCCACGCCCCGCGCCGCCGGGGCGTGTCTTGTGTGAGTGCGGCGCGGCGGCGGTGCCGTGCTCGGTGGTGGCGATGCCCGCGGGGCTGCTGCAAGCCGCAAAGCGTTTTCTGCAGCATCACGAAGGCGAGGCGGCCGGGCGCGGACAACTGTATACAGCGGCACGCACCATCAATCGTGCAGGCCAACAGAAAAGAGCCGCGTGTAAAGCCATCGGATGGAGGGAGAGAGAGAGAGAGAGGCGAAGCCTAGTTCGTGCGCGCTGTATAGGCTGCTGCTGTACCCCTCCCCCCTCTTCCTTAGCACTTTGCCGCCACTAGAAGTTATACCGGTAGTTACACACCCCGCGCGTCTCACTTCATTTGAATATGAATCCTGTGCCCTCAGGGAGGACAGGAGAAGGGGGAGGGAGACGGATGCATGGATATGCTTTCGGCCATCGAAGAGAGACAGCAAAAATGCGGATGGAACGGTTTTGTTGCGATTGGAACACGCCGCCGCGTCTTTCAGATAAAAACAGAAGATTGTGTTATTGGATGAGCCATAACGCCCGTTATCGCCCGCTATGCAGATACATATATATGTGTATCCGCTTAACGGCCGGCGATAACCCCACACTTTGTACCTGAGTACGAGGAATCGCTTTACGAGCGGACGCGCGGCGCGCTACTGTTTCAGATGCGATGACCGTTCCGTCTCTGTGAGGCATAAAGCACGGCGGCGGGGGAGCCCGGGGTCTAGCCCGCGCATTTACAAGCGACGACCACTGAGCTACACTTTCGACAAAATGTATGCTTCTTTTATTTTTATGTTTTTTGCGAAATTATTTTCCGGTACTGCGATGTCCCGTTTAGGACGGGGTTATTTTACGGTGAGGTATGAGTGGGGGTCGCCCTATGGCGCGTGGGGGTCACCACCACCGCGTACCCGACCCGCCTGCTGCAGCGAGTGACGCGTCGCTACACTACAATGTTGTTTATCCCCCTGCGACATTATTGCAGGCGATTGCAGGGGGGTTGCACCCAGCCATCGCCTTGTACATCCCGCGCGCGAGGATTTTTACGTCGCGCGCAACCATGGCAAAGCAAGCGGGACATGCAATCGCGGAGCTCTAGCACAGCAGCCGCCGCCGCGGCCGGGGCGCTTCCAAAGGGATTCGGTGAGTTTTACGATTGTTAGCGCATTCCGCCGCGCCCGGGCCATTTGTGGGCGGGAAGCGCGGGACGCGGGGAAAGGGCGGGAGTAGTGGAGGGATCGGGGGATCCCTGGGAAAAAAATAGTGACATTGACATGGGCCGTGTTTGGCGTATGTGTGAAGGGCCCGGGAGGCGCCTTGCGGGGTGCGGGGCGTGGGCAGCGCGCCCGCTGCATGCGAATGGCCGGCAAGCAGCCCGATAGGGTAAGAATGGCTGCTCCAGGATCGGGTGGGCGGTGTTTGAACCGCGAATGCGTTTTGGGAAAAAAAGACAAGGCGCCGCGCAGGCCGCAGGCCGCGCCGGTTTTGGCTACTGAGCTGAGCTACCCGGGGGGGAGGGGGGTTGTATTATTGCGGGGGCTGTCCACTGCCCCCCCTCCCCCCCTCAACCAAACGGGGCACTGTGCGCGCCTTCATCCCATATGCTGATCCTATGCGCGCGCGTGTTTTCGATAACTCTATTTGTCAATATCTTGGCGTTTGCCACCTCCCTCCCCTCCTTTATCCGCCGTTTCTGTTTGTTCCAACCGTTGCGTGCGTTACACGACGATTCGCCCACCTACCTCCTCCCTTTGTTTTTTTTTTATTATTTTCTTTTTCTCGCTGTTTGGATTTTTCCCTCCCACCCACTTTCATTTTTCTCATAATGTTGCAGTTTTTCAACGTCGTCGCGCCGGAAAGCTGCCGATGGCGATCGATTTAGTTAGAGTGCGCGCTTCGGCTTTTGCTCTGATTTTGTATTTGTATTTTTATTTTTTTAGTAAATTGGCCGAGTGTGATAAGTTGGGAAAGGGAACGGGAGGGGGTACAATGTGGGAACGTTCGCGCGTTCTGACAGGCGTCAGTCAGCGAGGTGTGCGCTGCGATTGCGCTCTGTCGCGAGGGCCGCCCGGACGCGTCCCGCCGTCACGATGGCCGCGCTGTTACGATTATGATAGTCGTTTTCATTGTTATTAAGGAGGCGGAGCTTGGGGTGGCAGTAGCAGCAAGGGGACGGCCGCGCGACCACCCCGTCCGGTATGCTAATTGAACGTTTAGTGGAGCGTTTTATTTGATTAAACGATCCCCATGTACAGTCGCGAGCAGAAACTTTTGTTTTGTGAAGAAGAGTGACGTGGGATATCTTATCAGAAATAATAATATTTTGGCGGCAGGTCTTGAGGAGGGAACGGAGGAATGGGGAATGAGATGAAAAAGAAATAAAACTGCGCCCTGCATTTAAATCTCTCTAAAACTGATTGCAGTTGTTTTAGGCGCTGATGCCAATTGGTCTTCCTCTTGGCCTGCTCTATTCTTGTTTTTTTTTACTACCACCCCTCCTCGACCCGCAGTATTCACATGTCAGTCATCCGTCCCGTTGCCCCGTGCGCACGATGCTGTCGAATGCAAATCATGAGAGCGGAGTGCGCCATTTTGGAAGATGCATGCATATGGTCTAGCTATTGTGTCATGCTAATCTGTGTCGTTTACTAATTCAAATGTCTCATATGATCTTACTTAAGAGTTTCGGGGCATCTTTAAAAAAGCAGGAAATTTTGCAGAAACTTTGATTTCCTCGATTTCACTATTTCAATTTTTTTTGACATTAACAGGTACGCCTGCCGACATTTTTTTGTTATTTCGTGGTCACAAACTGACTTCTGATCACTCACCTTCACTTGCGACTCGGTCATGCCCAGGGCGTAGGCCAGCTTGGCTCGCTCAGGTCCCGCCAGGTATTTGGTCTGCTCGAAGGTCTTCTCGAGCGCGAAGATCTGCTGGCCGCTGAAGGTTGGCCTGGTGTGCTTCTTCTTTCCGTCCTTGTCCACTCCTCCCACATTGCCACCGGCCACTGAAACATTGCCGAACACTATACACCAATGCTGCTGCCCTAGACATATTCTCATTTATTTATTTTTTGTCATTCATTTCATCCGCGACCGATGCTCTAACCACCATCTAGATTGTTCTGAATGAGAGAGATTAATCTCAGCGCAGAACGCTTTCCCTTGCTGTCTGCTTGCGCTCGCCCGGCCGGCCGCAGAGATTTCCACATTATAACATAAAACATGCGATCCATTTATCAGTGATACGGCCCCGTTCTCTTCGCGTTTGCCGGTGGAATACGTGTTTACGCGCTTCCACCCCCCCCC